AAGGTAAATGTTTATTAAGCTGACATGTGACATTTTCTGCATTCCATTGGTATCTCACTGAGGCTCTCTTTGTGTGTGTGTGTGTGTGTGTGTGTGTGTGTATATATAATATATATGTAGTGTGTGTGTGTGTGTGTGTGTGTGTGTATATATATGTGTGTGTGTGTGTGTGACCAATGGAAGGCAGAAAATGTCACGTCAGCTTAATAAACATTTACCTTTTTTGTAGGGCTGTCAATTAATCACAGTTAACTCATGCGATTAACTCAAAAATTAATCATGATTAATTGCAGTTTTAATTGCACTTTTAAACAATAATTGAATACCAATTGAAATTTATAAAATTTTGGATGTTTTTCTATATTTTCAAATGTATTGATTTCAATTACAACACAATACAAAGTGTACAGTGCTCACTTTATATTTTTTATTACAAATATTTGCACTAAAAATCATAAACTAAATAAATAGTATTTTTCAATTCACTTCATACAAGTACTGTAGAACAATCTTTTTATCGTGAAAGTGCAACTTACAAATGTAGACTTTTTTTGTTTGTTTATTGAGTGCAATTATGTAAGTCACAAGTCCACTCAGTCCTACTTCTTGTTCAGCTAATCTCTAAGACAAACAAGTTTGTTTACATTTGCAGGAGATAATACTGCCCATTTCTTATTTACAATGTCACCTGAAAGTGAGAACAGGTGTTTGCATGGTACTGCTGTATCCAGCGTTGCAAGATATGTATGTGCCAGATGCGCTAAAGATTCATATGCCCCTTCATGCTTCGGTCACCGTTCCAGAGGATGTGCTTCCATGCTGATGACGCTCGTTTTAAAAAAAAAAAGCGTTAATTAAATTTGTGACTGAACTTCTTGGAGGAGAATTGTATGCCTCTTACTCTGTTTACCCGCATTCTGCCATATATTTCATGTTATCGTAGTCTCGGATGATGACCCAGCTCATGTTCGTTTTTAAGAACACTGTCACTGCAGATTTGATAAAACTCAAAGAAGGTACAAATGTGAGATTTCAAAAGATCGCTACAGCACTCGAAATCTGAAGTGCCTTCCAAAATCTGAGTGGGATGGGGTGTGGAGCATGCTTTCAGAAGTCTAAAACACTGGTGCAGAAACTACAGAGCCTGAACCACCAAAAAAGAAAATCAACCTTCTGCTGTTGGCATCTGACTCCAATGATGAAAATGAACATGCGTTGGACTGCACTGCTTTGGCTCGTTATCAAGCAGAGCCCATCATCAGCATGGACGTATGTCCTGTGGAATGGTGGCTGAAGCGTGAAGGGACATATGAATCTTTAGTGCATCTGGCACATAAATATCTTGTGATGCCGGTTACAGCAGTGCCAAGCAAACGCCTGTTCTCACTTTCAGGTATCGTAAATAAGAAGCTGGCAGCATTATTTCCTGAAAATATAAACAAACTTGTTTGAAAGATTGGCTGAACAAGAAGTAGGACTGAGTGGACTTGTAGGCTCTAAAGTTTTACATTGTTTTATTTTTGAGTGCAGTTATTTTTTGTACATAATTCTACATTTGTAAGTTCAACTTCCATGATAAAGAGATTGCACTACAGTATTTGTATTAGTATTTTTCAATTCATCTATCTTGTTTTTTACAGTGCAAATATTTATAATATAAAATAAAGTGAGCACTCTGCACCTTGTATTCTGTGTTGTAATTGAAATCAATATATTTGAAAATGTAGAAAACCTCAGAAAATATTTAAATAAATGGTATTCTGTTATTGTTTAACTGAGTGATTAATCCTGATTAATTTTTTTAATAACTTAACAGCCCTATTTTTTTTGCATGTATCGTGAGGGAGATGGGGAGCAAATTTCCTGCCACAGCTTAGCTTTTTGTGACATCATCAGAAAATATGGTGGTGATAGAGACTGATGGGCTACAGAAAGCCCTCTAGCTTACACAGCTTGTTGTGGAGTGAATTCTGTTCATGGGGAAATATGGCAGCAAACAAACTTGGGAGCAATTAACTATGAACATAGAACATAATCTTTTATTAGCTAAAAGAAGAACAGGAGTACTTGTGGCACCTTAGAGACTAACAAATTTATTAGAGCATAAGCTTTCGTGGACTACAGCCCACTTCTTCGG